CTTTAGGGGGAGGGATAGCTCAGTGGTTTGAGCATTGGCCTGCTAAAGCCAGGGTTATGAGTTCAATCCTTGAGGGGGCAGCTTAGGGATCTGGGGCAAAATCAGTACTTGGGCCTGCTAGTGAAAGCAGGGAGCTGGACTCAATGACCTTTCAAGGTCCCTTCTAGTTCTAGGAGAACTCCAATACACTTTTCTCCTCATGCCTCCTGAACTGCTCCAGAGAAGGACAATACCACCTTAAAGCACCTGGAATCAAAACTGCAGATATGGATTATTATGTCCTAGAGTTTGGAACGCTCTGTGGCCAAAATGCATTTCCATCTTTGGCTATTGGCTATTGGACTAGTTAATTCATTCGGTCTTTTGCCCAAATCAGATCCTCAAAATTTATACATGCTCGCGCCTAATAATTGTGTGTTTAAACCCTGCATTAGTGGTGATTGCACATGCAGTCTGGTATTTGCACGCACAAATCTCCATTTGCACATACAATTGCTTAGTCTATGGGAAAATTAGCATCCACATTTAGAAAATTTGACCTTAAATGACTAGAAGACTGGGTAATGTAGAAGTTTCCAGAGACAAAGGAAATTGAAGAGACTTATGCCAAAGAGAGAGAAAAATGCAGAGAAGAGAAAAACAGATTGCTTCTCTCTGAAGTTGGGGAGAAGGTGGAGGAGGCCATGACTTGTAACTCTTAGGTTTGAGGACATCCTTCCAATGCCCACCACTAAGGATAAGATTATGTCACGGAAGTCATGGATTCTGTCACTTTCACAGACTTCCATGACATTTTCCGCTTCAGCCCAAAGGTAGCAGGGGGTCAGAGCTGTCAGCCAGCGGGGGCCGTGGAGCTGCGCCAGGCTGCGAGGGCCCCAGAACTCTCAGTCACTGCAGGCGGCAGGAGGCCCCAGAGGGTGCCGGAAGCACCTGGCGTGCCACCCATAGGTGGCGGGGGCACCTGGAGGGCGGCGGGTGGTGGGGACACCTGTCCGTGACTTTTACTAAAAATAACCGTGACAAAATCTTCACCTTGCCCATCACACAGTGGGATCAAAATGTGGTGCTACTCTAGCTGGGATATATATTGCCTATTGTATAAGAAAATGATTATGTAGAGTGTATGCGTATAGCCACTTAACCAACATCTTAAAGGCATATCATATATTGGTACTAGTATAAAAAATTTTTTTAATTGTGTTCTGAATATTCTTTTCTCATCAAGTCCACCTTAAGTTAGAGAGGATACAGAAGAACAAATAAATATCAGACAGAATACTGATAAAAACGTACACTCACGTAACACCAGTACCGCAAAGGGATCAGAAAGTGTTTCTGATATACGTACTACGTACCAGGATAACTTCTTCCACCTCTACAATGCAGCCACCTCTGGGGTTGAATGTGGTACCACATGCAAAAACGCTACACAACCGTTTCAGACAAGAAGTGAAGAATAACTTGTCTGCTTAAAACTGAGCGGGAGCACTGATGGAAAAGTCCTAGAGAATTTAACAGGGGGAAAAGTACCAGGGCACTATAGAAATGTGAAAGGGTTATATAGAAGTTACTCTAAAGACCTATAATACTTAATAGAGAATAATCCCCTTTCTATAGTTTTATGATCCACCCTTTAGAATTTTCCAGTGGAGATATAATTATGGAGCAGAACTAGATAAGGTTGCACTGAGTTTCCCTTATAGCCCCCTCTTGACCTCTCCATCTACAAAGAGGGGAAATCAGCCCCACAACTGGTGAGTTAGGTCTTCCACCACATGGGAATCGAGTCAGATTTGGCATTCCTGAGTTAGGACATTTGCTACTAAATGCTCTAGGACTCTGCCATAGGGGAACGCGAGGGAGGTAGAATTCCCAAAGTGAGAATTCGGCCAGGGGGATTTTTTAACGGCCCCTCAGTCTTACGGCTCTCCTGGATGTTCGTTTTAATGGGCACGTTTGCCTCTGGTGCCTGCATTTCCTCTCAGAATGGCACAGCCACTAGAGCGCTGCGAGTCAGATGGTATGACAAGTTCCTTGGAAATACCCTACAACGGGTAGCTCGGGAGATAGCTACCTAGCGTCAGCTGAACAGACAAGAGGCAGAGTCTCTTGGTCTTTGCTTCAGAACGGACCCCAGCCGTGGTCCATGCTGTCAGCAAAACCTAGGTTATGTTTCTAGCACGCCTGAGTCAGGGGGGTTCCGGTTTCAGACGGGACCCTGACAAAGCACGGCCAGTTCATGTGAGAGTGAAGAAAAGGTTGCCATGAGCCCCTCTAAACAGATCCTGCTGAGTCCTTGGGGCTGGCGCCAGCTCCGATGCTCTCGCTAATCAGCACGGGGGAATAACTGGATTCTTCATCCACCCAGCAAGGGTTTGGCAAGGCATCTACCGCTGTGGTAGCTTCAGCCCCAGGACAGCAAAGCTTTGAAGCACATAGCGAACTTTAAATATGAGAGTCAGTCCACTGCAGCCAATGGGCTTACACCTGTGCAGAGAGTTCAGTGCTTTGCTGAATCAGGAACGCGATCCAGCACTGTGACATTTTGAGGTGTGCAGGGGGACGATTGGGCTCAGATACAGCATCCCAGAAATGGAAAATTCTCAGCAAAATACAGGGAACAAGCTTCTTGCAATTTCTTCTGGGCAAAAATCAGTTTGCCTCACAACCAGAGCAAATTCTGAGGGTTTCATTTTTCAAGGCCTGAGGCTCCAAACGGTGGAAGCATCCATCGCCGCTGGGTCTGATGAATAACTCGGAATCCCTGCAAGGGACTCCACCTTAAATCGGTGGCGCTCCTCAAGGGGTTTGCCTCTGGGGAATTGAATGCTGGAGCAGCCTACGTTTACGCAGCCCGCAGCAGCTACTCTCAGAGCCTGGGTCAACTGCTGTGAGCTGGCGGGGGCTAAAAATAGCAGGGTAGCCTGTCGGGCTTGGGCTAAAACCCAGCGAGGGGGAAGAGTCTCGGAGCCTGGGCCCCAGCCCAAGCAGGAACATCTCCCCTGCTTTTTTAGCCCTGTGGCATGAGCTCAAGTCGGCTCACCCGTGCCCTGAGACTCATTGCCGTGCAGGTGGCTTTGCTGGGTAGAGTTACCCTACGTTTGTCCCATACGGGGTTCTGAGCATGGCAACAAAGAAACCCTCCGAGCAGTTCTCCCAGGGATGCAAAGGGTTCCAGGCTAGGAGAAATGCAAGATTTAAAAAAGCGTTTTGCTTCCCTTTTGCTCTTTTAGGAAAGCCGGTCGAACTGCTGGCTGGGTTCACTTGATCCTGCCCCCGCCTAGCGCTGCCGTCTCAGGAGAGAAAGTTCTTTACGAGGCAGAATGAGGTCATGGTAGTGCCATCATCCAGGCACATTGCCCCAGGACCTCTTCAAAGACACAATCAAGATTCTCATCCACGTGGCTTTCACCAGGCTCCAGTAGTGAACTATCTTCCCGGGTCCCTCCCCAGCCCCCGCACCCTATCTCCGAGCAGCTCACATATCGGCAGTGGTAGCAACAATCTCTCCGGTGCGGCATGTTAACTCCATTCCAGCTCGATGCCTATTGATTCAGAGCAAGGCAAAACAAAAACTCCTGAATGCTTCCTTTCAGTTGTGCGATACTGACACAAATTGCCCCCCGGACCCCGGCAGCGGGCGGCTGATGTGCAGCGGCCTACGATTAGATCGCATCTCCTAAGTGGCGGCTCACAAGCCCTGCTCGGAAGGGTTTAGCCCTAAATGCAGTAGCGCGGGGGATCGGTGAATGGAGGGGGAAGAAAAAATAAGAATCCAACCAATGACTTCAGAAGTCATAAACGCCATGTGAAAATCGATGGGCTGGTTCATTGGCGTTGGCAGCCGTGTAGAGAAGAGAAATCTATCGATCGGGCTCGGCTCAAGCCACTCGCCTCGCAGCTGTGTTCCGGGGAAGTTTTAATCCATAAAAAAAATTCGCTGGAACAACTGCCGTTTAAAAGCGATGGAGGTGCAAGCTGAGAGCTTCCCAATAACGTAAGGCGCTGTCTGCAGGCAAAAGACTCCGCGGCCAGGTTCTGAATGACAGCCCAGTGGTTGGAGCCCCTCCCAGGCCAAGCTCCCCCCCCCCCAGCACAAAAGGGGGATGGGAAGGCAGAGGGGGAGCTGAGGATTTGAGGAGTTCTACTCTCTGCCCCGCCCCCTCCCTGCCTCCGACGTGCCCTAGGCTGGGGTGGGGGCACAGCTGGCTCTGGGCACAAAGGGGCCAGCACCAAGGCGAGAACCGGACCCAGCATGTGGCTAAAGAAACGGGGCTGGCTCCGTTGCACTCCCAGAGTGTTTGGGCAGAGCAGAGGGGTCTGGGCCGTGCCTGGTGAGATGGCCTGGGGGAGCGGGGATCAATGCACTCTGCATCATTCCTTCGTGCTGCCCCCCAGCATGGTGGCAGGGAGGGCAGAGGACTGGGCAGGGGCCCCAAGCTCGCTGAGCACGCAGTCAGACACCTTGTTAGCACACAGAGGAGTCCAGGGCCCAGGCCTGTAACCACTTGCCCTGGCTCCCTGGGAGCATTCACTGCAGTGCTAGCAAGTGAGCAGAATATCTGCCAGCGTCTGCGTCGTGGAATCTGCAGAGACAGGCGCCACCACCGCTGCTGCTTACTTCTGAGTGACACGCTGCGGTTCAACTGGGCGTCCTGCTGGCGCGTGGTCGCCCCGGGGCTTGCAACCACAACATGCTTCTTCAGCAGCCCCGTGGTCACGTTCCCTCAAGGGCAACACCAGCCAGGCAGCTGAGGAAGATAGGTGCCCGAGTCCCATTGGCATCGGGCACCAAACTCCCTTCGGCCCCATTGCACATCCCGCGCCTCCCGCCAGCGATAAATACCCCGCAGCCTGTCGCGTGAAGTGAGAACTTAAAATGACATTGTGCCTGGCGCTTACCAACTACGCACCTACAGTTCATATTCAACCACGTTGTCTTTGCTTGTGGTTTCATTGTCAGGGATTAATTCCACACATGCTC